GACAGATCAGAGATTAAACTCTTGTTTATATTTGATTCGTTTTCTGATTCACCACCTGGTTTAAATAAATGTTCATTGTAGACTGAACAACAAAAGGAGCACAAACAACTTTCTTCATTTATTAGAAAGATTTAAATATATATATATATATATATATATATATATTAGTGCTGGGCAAGTTAACGCGTTAACGCATTAATTAATTAACGACGACAATTATTTTATCGCGCGTTAATGCAGGTTTTTTTTTATTATTAAGCGGACATTTTTAACACAAGAACCGGCTGGCCGACCGGCAGCGAGCGGTGAACAGCTGTTTGTGTGGCGTCTCTTCCTGTTTCCTTCACCTACATTCCCCTGGGTCCTAAGTCCCTCCATGTACAGCTTCTTATCACCCTCTATGTACCAACGTACATTTATAACAAATACCACACATATTACGGTAATCAGCGTTGCATATGTGTCTGACCAAAATACCAAAAAAAGAAATGATTCATTTAAATTATTTTTTTTATAGTTTTTAAAGTGTTTTTGTTTGGAATATGTATAATAAGCACATCACTTAGTTATTGCTACTGAGAATTTAACGAACGTAAAAAAAGGAAAAAACATGACGTATTTTGGTTTGCAGTTTTCAAGGTGTATATTTCAAATTGCATCTCTTACACACATGAAAATAAAGTTGTGAATGCATTTGTGCTGAATATCTATTATCAGAATCAACTGTATTTTAACTGCTACTGTGTAAAGGGAATACTCCTGTTAAAAATAACCTTATTTGTTTAAAGTGCATTGTTATGCGCAAAATTCAATAATGAATTCAAAAGTAGTGTATTGCGCACTTTTATTTTAAAAGTACTGCTATATGAACAAAAGTGCAATAACATTTGGTTTGCAAACACCAGAGTGGTGGGTCGTGAGCTCGCCATCTTTGGAAAAAGAAAATCGTGAAGGTCTTATGAAGTCATGTCATGACGCTGTTTGTTGTAGCGAGAGTGTGTATTTTCGGGGCAATGGACCTTCGAAACAATGAGTTTTTTTCGGGATAATGGGCTTTCGGTCAAATAGGACATTTTTCTGACTATTGGGGTTTTGGAATAATGGGCCGTTGTAACAATGGGCAGTACCCATATTATCACTTATACAGTCATTTAGCCAAATAGAAAAGAGCTATATCCTGATCTATGACGAATGATGTATTATAGTCAAGAATACACTTTGAATTGTGCCAATATGTAACTCAACAAAAATAGCTAATTTAGGCCCTTTACTTGGGGTGACTACAAGGCTAACAGTGGGGGTAATAATTTTGGAATAGGTTTCCCGGGTCTTCTATTCTACCAACACTGCATGAATGCAGCATGACGCCAAATAGTTCTAGACGTTTTGTTTATCAGCTCCAGAAAAAAAATCCCAGAATGCACAGTAAAAAGCTGTCATCTTTGCACTGTAATGGTAATTTTTCACGTAGTATATATTTCCACTCAGTATATTGTATTCATGCAGAAGTAATTTTGCTCTGAACTTTGTTGAACTTCACCGTGTCTGTTGTGCAGAAGAAGAATTCTCCCTTGCCTGTTCACAAAGATAACTAACTGTGTTGTATGAGAATGTTCCAGCACCAAGGCCTTTGGGCCGCTTTCTTTGGTTGCTGACCGTTTGTTTTTGAATGTCCTATCAGTCTGAGACCAAAAGTCTGAGGCTGAAATGTCTAACATTGGCCATCGGCCCCCACCTTTGCTCATTCTGTATAAAGAAAGCTTGTTCACTTTTTTCTTGGTTCTTCCTCACTGAGACTGTACGCATTCTGTTGTGATGATTGAACCTTCTCTGCGCAGAGAATAAATACTTAAAAGACAACCTGGTTTTCGGTATTATGTATTTCAGCAGTAAAAGACTCACGCAAAGCGGGTATAGGAATATTTTCCACCACAGCACTTTGCACAACAGAAACAGCAACATCAGTACACTTCCAATGGACCCTTTTCACACCTTCCTGTGTTTCAATGCCACACTGATGTAAACAGCATACACTGTTAACAAATAAATAGTCATATCAAATAAATGCATGTAGTGCAAACAAAAAATATTTGGAACATATTTTAGAAGATTTAGAAAATTTTCACAATTTAAAACTGAAAAAATAATCTTTTAAAGGTGCACTTTGAGACCTTGTTACTATCTGTTCTATAAGCTTGCTGGAGCAGAGGCATTTTCAGCTTTAAGTAGCTCTTCCACCTTCGTTGTATTTGTCATTTTGAGGCAATAGACCTTTCTCTTGGTGGATATTTTGACTTACATAGCAAGAGCAGCAACAGGTGCAACTAACAAAAGCAACAATGGCTCTGTCTCATTTAGATGTGCCAGTCAACGAAATGCACAGTACCAAAGCCCTGGAAATAGCTCATAGTAAATAGACTGCGAACATTACTGATGTCACTCACGGTGGACAGAATGACACAGCTGCAGATAATTACGATAAGTAAGTTTGCTTCAGGTGTGTCAAGGACAAAGCACCAACCGTGTTATCATTGGCTGTCAGCTAACTGGCAGAGTGAAATCAAGCGTAGCCATACTGACGTTTATCAGCTGCGGCCATGATTAGCTGGCGATGACACACCTGTGAAAAGAGTGCGCTGAAAAGCACAGCTGTGCTAATGTGAAAAACCCCATTCTTTCCAGCAATTGACATGTGCTCTCATGAATTATTAAACACACTTATTCAATAAAAGCACACCACTGTATCTCCTTTAAGGTTAGGACCCTTACTGGAGAATGTTCTATAACTGTTTGGCATTTCTATCCATTACCACTTTATGCGAATTATCTGGAGTAGAATATCTCAGCTCAAATGTAGATAAACTGGAGGTGTTTACAATCCATTTCACGTCTGAAACTAAAAGTAAAAACAGTCACAGTGAGGTGACAGCCTGTCTAGATTGCAGCAGATGACAGACAGATGAGTCCACCGGATCGTTAAGCATTCCAGTCACACCCCCCAACCGAAGCAGCTCCACAGGTCCACAGGAGCAGAAAGATTCTCTTTGAACTGTGAATTCTCTGTCTCCTGCTGATTCTGCCCTTTATCCATCACACGGTGCAAACGTGTGATGGATAGTAATCTGACTGGGATTGTGCCACACCTCTCTGAGGCACTCATTCAGTCGATCCACTGAAGTGATAGAGCAGCTTCACTGACAGGGCAGCCAGGAATGTGAGATAGGTTGTAAAATATACTGTGATGGAGAAAAGGAATCCAGTCAAGAGTCATCATGTCAGGGCACGTAGATAGAATCAGCTCTGAGAGGGACTAGAGGAGGAATGATGTTTATGTAAAGAGAATAGGTGCAGAAAGAAGATGTAACATGACAGAAAAAGAAAATGAATGTGTGCAACCACAGAGAAGAATGGATAATAGAAAGGAAGAGAAAGGAGATGGGGGAGGACAGATGGAGTGCAAATACATTTGGTATCCTGGAAATGAGCAAAGATTCAAACCTACAGCTACGTATCAAATCTCAGTCCCTTTGTTTCTAAATGTGTCCGTAGCACCATATCAAACTATCAAGTACTGAACATGGCAACTGGGAATATCCTGCAAGAGTCCTCTAGAGTAGTGAGAAAGCCAATAAATCCTTATTGATATAATATTGTAATTTATTTATTTATTCTTATTTATCAATTATATTTTGTATTGCTAAGTGGAATCTGCAAAGTAGCTAAAGCTCTCAGATAAATGTAGCAGAGTAAAAAGTATTTGCCTCGAAGATGTAGAAAGTAGTAGGAAATAGAAATACTTCAACCAGCACTGTGGAACTTTTGTCTCCCCCTCTGGCAGTGAGAGTAATTACACAAACACTGTCGATGTGTGCTTATGGTGCTCAGGAGTGTTTGTCATGTGCATGAAAACAAAACTGCAGACAGGGAAAGTAACATGTGAGTGGCTGGATGAAAGAAGAGATAACTACATTCTCGTGTTTAGAAAAAGACAGAACTAACGGACGCAGCATATTCTGTTACTAATACAGTTCAAATGAGAAAGCCAAAATACAGATAGGGGAAGGGGAGAAATTTGATTTCTGACCTTTTGCCTGCATATAAGGATTTACAGTAACCAGGATACTAGGAATTTTTGATTTCAACATTCTGTTCAGCACTGACAGCTACACCTATGTTAGACTTTAGAGTCTTGATTTGTAAAGATCAACAGATCATTGGTTTAAAGCCCAGACAACTGTCATTTAAACTTTCTAATTCTTCTTTCAAAAGTGAGATTACATGGTATCAAGTGTGATATTCTTTTGGACTGTACCACACTAAGGCCATATGGTTGAATCTAAATCAGTTTGCTGAGCCTTGTTTTCTTTGCTGGGGGGGAGTCTCCTCTGGTTGTGGCAGTCTCTAAATCCTCTGCAGCCAACAAACTGTATTTTTCTGTCAACAACGTACGATTACGTACGAGTATCTGTGCAACCTGGTGTAAGCGGGTGTAAACACAGTCATATCGCCCTACCCTACCAAGAGGAGCAGTACAGTTTTGTGTTGTACTTGATGTTAAACAGTTTGCTGTATAACATACATTTGACAAAATCTGAAAAAAGTATAAAAGGCAGCCAATTATAACAAAACTAGCGCAGGAAGAGTTGCTGCGTACTTGTAAATTGTTCTAATCAAACTAAATCAGTACTGTTGCAATATAGGTTCTGTTCCAGTGTCAGCATTGGGTGAAAGAAAATGATCATCCATCTTGGCTTGTATTGAGTTCAACCAAGTGGCAACCTTCAGGTCTGAAAAGTGAAGCCAATGCAGAAGTGCCTTAAACCTGGATTCTGTCTAATGTCCAGCAGGGGGCGACTCCTCTGGTTGTATAGAAGTCCCTGAGAAAATGACTCAGTAAACATTACCTCAGTAAACATTGTAAACATGAGTTTATGGTCTCAATCTCTAGTTTCAAGTATTCTTCAATACAGCATGATGTTCATTTAGTACATTATGGTCCATTTAGAGTCACACAGACCATAAAGCAGGGGATGCTTTAGGGCGGGGCTACGGCTTGCTTCTAGAAAACTTCCACTAAACTTTATAAGATGGCAGATATGTTTAAAAAACCTACCGTGTATTTCCTCCACTGGCCCACCATCTGCTCCTCGGTCCGGTCATTGCGATCCCTAGCCTCGCGGCCCTCCTCCAGTTCCTGGTCTAGCTCCTGCAGCAGCACCCTGAGCTGGCCGATGTCTTCTTCCAGCCGCTGGCATCTGGCCATGTACTGACTGTGGGAGTCCAGGCTGGAGCGCAGGCCCTCCTCAGACTCACACAGGCCCTGCCTCAGCCTCTGCCAGCCCAGCCTCAGCTCCTCGGCCTCCTCCATCACCATCTCCGCCCCAGAGGGAGAGGTGTTGCCCCTCACTGCCTCCGCCACTCCCTCGATATGCTGCAGGGTCTTCTCCTCGCCGGCTACACTGTCATCCAGAGCCTGACACGGGGGCAGAAGAAGAAGCATTACCATTCATGTGTTGGCTTGGATTCCAAAGGTACAGGTGGAAAAAATATATTCAACTTGGTTTCAAATCATAAGAAGTATTTCTCTGTAACATGAAATACTTGTGACCACTAAGATTCTTACAAAAATATAGGCTAGTCATTAAAAAGGCCAGGTAAAAAAGTCTGCCACTACCTGGCGGGGGCACAGGCAAGAAATGAAATAAAAAGGGCACCAGCTGCATGCTTTGGGGAACCAGAGCGCACAACGTTTTCTGACCTATAGGGCATCACGTTTTCTCCGTTTAACGGCAGCCATTAGAGCGCTGAATCTAGTTTTCTCAACTGGAAGGATCATCAAACATCATGAAAATGGAGTTTTTCAGAAGGACAACTATATCCATAGTTAGTAACTTGGCGAAAGGGAATTTCAAAATGTTAAACTTGAAGGAGCAATAAAAGACATTCAGAGCATCAATATGGCAGCAAACCACTGTTGTCTATGTAAAGACATAGTGGAGCAGAGAATGAAGTCACTCTCCCTCTGTGTATGTTATGATCAGACCTTCTCCTTGCTTTCTTTACACAGCTGGCCGGTCGTGCGTGCTTTCAGTGCACGTGAGCGTTCCCCACTGGTTAGCTCAGTCAGCACTGTTAGCCTTTTTAGCACTGTTAGTTACAAGCCGCCGACTTAGGCGTCGCCATGTTGAGAGCCGCTGAGAGGCAATCGAAATCTCGAATTATGCACCCTGGACATAAACTATTTGAGCCCCTTCCATCTGGCAGGAGGCTGCGGTCCATCAGGACCAAGACCTACCACCACATGAACAGTTAAGCTCATCAACAAAGCCCGGGACCCCCACTGACTGACATCCCCAGGACATTTTCTTACCGGTCACTTTCCTGCACATTCCCTCCCTGTTTCTTTATTTAAACACACTCGACACTTTTACATTACACTTCATCATACTTGTTTATAGTACTGTTATCTGTTTGTTGTTCACTTTGTTTGATATTCTTTTATATTCTATTGTAAATTTGAATGTTTTTATTTCTCACACTGTTGTTGATTGTTTAATGTTATGCACCACCCGCCATGACAAACTCCTTGTATGTGCAACATACGTTGGCAATAAACGGTTTCTGACTGTGATTTAAAGCTAACTTTGGTACGGTACAATAAAAAGGCAACATTTATCTTTAATATTGTACATGGTCCCTTACAAATAAAATAAACAAAATGTGTTGTATTTAAAAGACATTTTAATCAATATATTCATGACATGTTTTATTTTTTATCTATGATATTTATGAACTGGTCAATTAATTCATGATTTTAATTAAACAATAAAAAAGTGTATACTTCTTCCCCCGGAGACTCCATGACAGTCAGTAAGATCACACTGAAGGAAACACTCTAATCATCCCAGCTTTAGTAAACTGTGCAGTTGCAGTGGAATTACACAGTATTTGGATTCATATTTTGAATACTGCAGTGATATATTTCTAATGACATAGATAAATAGACCACACTTATTGTACCCCTCCATTTATGTTTTTTTAATGTCTTCACCATGAGGATAGTTGTACCTACTTTTCATTTGGTTGGTACTTTTAGTTCATGAAAGTAAATTTTACACAGCTGAGAATATTTATTCAAACTATTACCCTTTGTATATTGAACATTAGAAAGACAGGTTTGTTTATTCAGTCTCACTTGTAAGGCTCTGAGCTTGTTCTCGGAGGTATCCTCCCTCTCCATTAGATCAGTGAGCTCCTTGGTTTTTGCCAGCAGCCAGGACTGGAACCTCTGGACGCAGCCTTGGTATGTCTGGTGCTCCTCAGCCATCTTCCGAAGCAGCGACAGACGCTCCTAGCACAGCAGGAGACATTTTAGTGGCGCACTGTTCAAAAATGAACGGAGACCTTTCAACACACATTACAGACTTCACATTTGGGTATCTGAGCGAGGAGCATGAATATGAATTTGTATTCTCCTGTGAGACTGAGAGCTGTTGTCTGTTACTACATAACACTTGAGAGCACGTTGACATTTTAGATACGAACACAGAGACTAACCAGGAAGAGCCAGTTCACAGGTAGGAGGTGCTTCCACAAAGGGTTACCCCGTGAAACACAGCAACGTTCCCATTTGGAGTCAAAAGTAGGGATTTGCCAGCAGACTGGTGTGTTCAAGTGAATGCATGATGTAGGTTTGATTTGAAAGAGCTGTCTGAAAAAGGAAGAGGAAGAGCCGTCTCATTGTGTGGCAGCTGGCATGTATTTGATAATGTTGACTAATCCAGCAATATCTCTACTCTGAATGAAATTGAATAAACAGTAAACTGTTCGCTCCCTTAGCAGATTCAATATAGACACAGAATGAATATCAAATGTATCATACATGTATCGCTCATACAAAGAGTAAAGTACAGAAGTGAACATGAATTACAGTTTGAAATGCTTGTTGTAGATGTAAATTAAGCCAAGGGATCACTGATTTGTGGGCACATACTGTACACTCACTTTGATTCAAACATAATGCAAATCCCACAAACAGACTCACACATACAGTCAACTACACAGCCTCCCCCACAGCATCATCATGAAAAAACATGTCATCCTTTGAACCTCACCGCCACAATTCCTGTTCCCTTCCATCCCTCGCAAAACATAGTCAACAATATGTACTGTAAATGTGTATATGGGTGTGTGTGTGTGTGTGTGTGTGTGTGTGGTGGTGGAAGCAAAGAATGAGAGCCAAACAAAAACCACTGGAATTTCATCTGCAAGTGATTATCAAGCTCCGTGCTTCCTGCTACAAAGACGCAGTTCCTCATTCCACATGCTTTCACTGCATGGTTCATTCTCTTTTTCTTTCTACGAGTGTGTTTACTTTATTCATTTACTTGTCTTCTCTCCTCATGTGCTTAAAGTATTATTCCACACACATTGTACCAGCTGACCTGTGTGCATTTTTTACATAAACCACAAGCTTTGCATTAGCATGAGCAGAGCTGCCACAGACTGGGTGCAAGGCTCTGACCCAACTTGTGCAAGAGTGCAAGACCCTGATCACTGATATGCACGAACATTAAGCCACGAGAACGACTTAGTTGAGTCCAGGTCAAGTCCAAGATCAGGTGCAGTTCAGTCTGAGGCAAGACTAAATCAAAAGGCAAGACCGGAGACGAAGTCCTGTTCAAGACATAAGCTCGAGCACACAGCTTGGATGTCAGCTCATTTCGGTTAATGCAGGCAAGATGCATAATAGATAACAGACTAGTTGTAACAAAGGTATAAATAGCAAACGTGGCAAAGTTAAAAGTAGATTACTGGCCCATAATAAAATACTCATTTGCATACTCGTTACTCCACAGCAGCCATCAGCGAGACGTGAACAAATTAGAACTTGGTTCCAGGCGTTGAAGCAAAGTCAAGCAAAATAACCACGGCTGGGCCATATGGTGAAATTTTCCAACCGGCAACCACCAACAACTGGCAAGTGGTGATATATTCATGCAGGTGTGTGTGTGACGGGCTCCACACATGAAAACACAGACAGTCGGGAACATCTCTAGTCTGCTGTCATGTTTACATTTAAATAAATGGCAGTACTGTAGGAGATGGACTCACGATGCATGAAAGTCACTTTCCTTGTTTGATTTGCAGCAAACATAGCAATGCCACTGCGGCTACATCTCTCTCACATCTGTTGGCTCTGAGCATATGCACACCTTCCATGTAGGTATGCAATAGGATGTACTGCGGTAGACCTCACCTCAGCTCTGTCTCTGACATCGTTGTAGGCCTCCTGCAGCCTCTCCTGGGCCTGGGGCTCCACGCTGGGGTCCTGGGTTCTGTTGTGCAGTGCGGCGGCCTCGTCCAGCAGCCTCTCCAGGAGCACCGCCTGGCTGTGGATGTCGCTCACCACCACCCTCTGCTGGTCCATCTGCCAGAGCTTCTCCTTCACCCCCAGCTGCAGCTCCACCACGACATCCAGGCCGCGCTGCCGGCTCGTCAGCCACAGCTCAAACTCCTCGTAGGCCTTCAAGTACTCGCCCCAGTGGAGCCACACCCACTCTATGCGACTGGGTGTGAGGTGAGACACATGAAGAAGAGTTAGCCTGTAGCACGGAAACATGGCACCCACCGTCCCATTGCCCCGCAGGTAAACACTGTTAGCTCTGTCACCAATGTTACCTTTGCTTGCACTGTGAGTGGTAATAGCGCCGTTGGCTCAGCCATCGCTATGTTGAGCCGTGTGGAGGCAATAAATATGATCTATTTTTCTAATTTAGCAACTTTAAAGACAATAGTAGTTTAAGTAACATTAAAACACTACTAAAAGCCCCCAGCTATTTGTCATGTAGCGTCAGATGTTGTGCAAACCAGATGTGTCAACAACTGCACAGTGATAACTGCCTGATAACATACTACTCCAATTTAGCTAGAGAAATGAATATACAGTATACACAAGATGCTTAAAATAGAGTCTGGTTGTCATTTCAAGTCCTGCTAAAACTTCCAGAATTAGTGCTGAAAGAATTAATTATCAATGAATTAAGTCATTCATCAAGAAAATTGGCAAATATCCAATAATATATCACAAAATATCCAAAACAAGTTACTTCTAATATGTCGCTTTGGGAAAGTGATGGCCATTTTTCACTATCATTTGACATTTTGTAGCTTTACAACATGCAAGTGTCCATGATAGCACATAAATCCTTCAGAGGTAAGGCAGTGAAATGTAAAGAACCCCAAACAACGATCTAGACAATATTTGGGGAGGCCCCGCAGTTTAGTCAGATACTGCAGGTACTGTAGTACTGTAGCATGTTGATACCAAATCCAGCTTTTAAAGGCATTTGAAACTTTTAATGCTCTATGCACATTTGATGGTTCAGGTGTGGAACAATTACCTGAAAACACACATCTGAAGCGACTCAAAACAGATCATCAATAGCTTAACTGTGAATGCAGCCAAAGGAGACCTCAGACCTCGGGTGCGTCAAATACCTACGAATCACGACACACACACAGTCCACCTGAGGTCTGCAGTGAGTAGGGCAGCACCTGTGACAGTGGATGATATAGGTGCTGGTCTCCTCCCACAGGCTTTTCAGGTCTTTGAGCTTAGCGTGGGTGTGGTTTCTCAGCTCTTCGTCTCCGCTCTGCAAAAGGTTCTCAGCTGCCACCAGCGCCATGTCCATCTTCACACGACCCTCATGCTGCGAGTGATGGATCTTCTACACATTCAGCAGAGCACAACATAAAAAGCATCATCAAACCTCTCATGTGGTAAAGTGACTGGGAGCTTATTAGAATGTGATGATTGGTAGCAGCTTTCTCTCACAACGTGTATCATTACTGCTAATACTTCTCAAAATGAAGACCACATTTCCCATGAACCCCAGTACTTATCTGTCACTCTTCCTGCCTAGCATCTTTGACACTAGAGAACACTTATCATTTTCATCATGTATGCTGCACACATTTCTCTTAAAGAAGACCTTAAAGAAGTGTCATCTTCTATGAGCCAAAGAAATCCCACTTCATAATTAATATTTGAGATGTCACTTTTTGCATTAAAGGCCAAGGGAATACCAAACAATAAAGAAATCCAGATGTGAATATAAACAGTTCCTAGATGACTGAAAATGAGACATTATACACCTAGGAGCATTATTTCCAACATGTTTTGTGTTATTTTGTTACATTACTCACTGTAACCAAGAAACTACAATACTTTCAATTTACAAAATCTGTTTATTTATTTCAATTGTCAGACCTTTTAAAGATTACATATAAGTATATTGAAGTATTGTATTCAGCATTGTTTTATTCACCTTCTCATGACTGAGGACAGTATCACATGATTTCTGAATTTGCTTGTATATCTACAATGTAAGTAGACATTGGTCGCTAATAAAGGATCCTGCTCAAAGACCACAAACACTGGAGTCTACTGACAGAGTACTAAAGTGGCAGCAGGGGTCAGAAGTGAAGGGTCAGGAAGTATTTCACCTCCGTCTCCCTGAGTCGGCCCTCCAGGGCATCACGGGGTCCCTGGGTGTTGTCATTGGCCTTCAGCCTCTCCTGGATGGCCCGCATCCAGGAGAGGGCCGCTTCCAGGCTCTCCATGAACTCCTGCTGCTCCTGCTGTGTCATGGCCAGTCCTTGGACTGAAGAGAAGAACAGAAGTAAGCTTCTGTGTCAGCAGGCAAGTAAAGTTAAAGGAGAACTCCACCAATTACATTTTGAAGGAAAAACGTATTTTGAATTTCTTAACAAAAAGCCTGTGTTAGAAACTGGGAGCGTGGAATTTGAAAAGACATTGATGTTGACAAATTAGGCAGGGCCTAATAAAGAGTTCATAGTAGCATCATGGGACATGTAGGATCCAGTGTTAAGTGGAGCTTGTCCTATACCAGGGAAGAACAATGTGAACACATATGGATTGAAGCAGGATATTTCATTCCATAAAACATACTTAGAACCATTCATTACAGCCCTAGTTCTGCATATGATTTGGATTGTGATATTGAAGACAAGATAATAGCCTGATGTTGAACATACCATGATGCAGTGATATTGTTGCACCAAGCACACACAGACTTTGAAATAGGAGCATAGTTTGAATAGAGGAGACATTGCTATTAAATAGATTGATTTTAATATTTTGATATCTTGAATGCGAAGTTTACACTATTTCATTCTTTTTAAAAATCTGCCTCTCGCGTGTTCCCCAACTCGTACTACTGAAAAAAGCAACTCTCTCTCTCTCACTAGAAATCATAAGAAGAATTTTACAAAACTGTAGTTTGTGTGATTAAAAACCAGCAGGCACACTTTTTTGTGACTGGTCATGCAACTCTACCACACAGTCTGGAAACCCCTGACCTAAGGCATGTATTTGTGTCCATCTCCTGTGTATACTGGATATTATATTTCATACTTTTGGAAGAAATTGAAATAACTTGTCCTCTCTCTTGTTATGTGCATTTTCAAGAACATGGTAATGGCACAATTCCAGGACTTCCTGACTGCATTGAGAGCAGTAAGATGAAACTCAGTGTGCCTCAGGACAGGCTGGAAGGAACCCCTTTGAGAGAGAACTGGCAGAGGTAAGGCTAGTAAAGAGTCTGCAGTCAGATGTATGGGAGGAGCCCGAAGAGGCACCGCATCATTTCTTAGAGGGAAAATAAAACATTTTCCTCATGACTCATCTCTCCCAGCACCACGACATTCCTTCTGTCTGCTTGTTTTGCCTCAGACTCTTGAAACTTGGTCATATGAGGAACTCCTTGTTCTCAGTGAAACACAACAAAACAGTTCTTTATACTTCAAAATCAAAATGTCTCATGCTAATACTTTCTAGTTGTTTTTTTAATGTTTTCATTTTTAATAGTCTAGTTTAAATCGTATTCTCTTTTGGAATTCATGAGCACCAATACATAACTTCTAGCTACTTACCTTTCTCTTTGTCACACTCTAGTTCTCTTTCTCTTTAGTTTGAACAAACTCACACCAAATGGGCTACATGTTTGTAACACCTGTATAAACAGAAGAAAAGCTGTAAACAGCTTACAGTCCTCTCCATTTGAAAAGAGTAAAGTTATCTTTGGTTGAATTGTAGCGACGTTGCAGTCTGTTTAGGCACAGTGAAGCCCCTCCCCCCTCAGTTTGACAGCTCGTGCAGTAAACTCGCGCATTAACACAAACCTTAATCCAGTTCCCTCACATGTGCCACCGTCAGCGGTCATATTCACTCTGTTTGCTTGTCATGCAAACTGCGGTTACCGTGCTCGTTTTTCACGGAAGTCTAATAGTTTAAACATGGAACTTCAGTCTGTTATTAACGACCTATATGCGATGCTAATTTAAGGCTGAAGAGTCAACGTAACTGGTTTACGGTGAATATGCCAAAAGACAACAGACCGGTCTATGCCACAGACCCGTATCTCCACAGCTCATTATAGTCCAGTAACTTAATATAAGCACGAGAGGCTCCACGGAGTTGCCACGTTCGTAGATAGAAAGGCCTATCGTTAAGCTAGCCGAACAACGGTGCAGTTCTATTAGTCAAGTACGGTTTGATAGGAATAAAAACACTTACGGCTTTGTGTTCATCAGGTGAGAGCTTCCTCTACAGTGAACGCTGTCCTGCTGTGTTGTGTACAGTGAAGTTATGGCACAGGAAGTAGAGCCGAGGCACTGGGGGCTGGAGTCAGCGCACACTTTCATGCTGCCTTCAATGACTCCTTGTAAAATATAGAATGACCCGACATTACAACAGAAACAACCTTCGTTTATTACTAAAAAAAATCTTTCAGTGTACGGGGAAAGAGCAACGTACATAGAAATGGACTAAACACAGTACAATGCGTTTTACGTGCAATAAAAATAACAACAATTTAACAATAACACTGAAGTGATGCACTTTCGCTTCCTGAAAGAATGAAACAAGGGCGCTGTGGGTGTACATTACTGTAACACTGCAAGTAATGCATTACAAGGTACGTTATTATCCTTTTTAAAAAACTAAATATGATGATAAATAAATAATCAAAGAAGTACTTTAAAAATATATAGCTCCTTTAGGCTATAGTACTCAGACATTCTGGGCTACCCTAAGGTATGGTATTTTCCAATTATTGGGGGATTTCACATGTTTTACCACAAATTATTCTTATTAAGGATTTATAAATACATAGAAGGATTCATATTTTTCCTGTCATGTATTGTGAATTGCTGGATGTATTCCCCTAAAACAATGTCCCTTACAGGCACAAGTCAATAATAGCTATTAAAGAAGCTTCCTCCAAAATGATAGATATATACATATATATATATACATATATATACATATATATATACATATATATACATATATACATATATACATATATATACATATATATATATATATATATATATACATATATATATATATACATATATATACATATATATA